ACTCGAGCACGACGGCCACAACAAAAAGAAAAAGGAGGAAACCGACGAGGTGGGGACCGGAGCTAGAAAGATGGATGGTGGAAGTTCCTGAGTCTGGTGAAGATCTATAAGAGCAAACGTCGGGACGACGTTTTAGAGGGTGGGGAGCTTTGTGAAGTTGTGACGATTGGGATGATAATGATTGCGCGATTGAGATATGCCGCCTGTATGGTGATGATAATGATTGCGCGATTGAAATATGCCGCCTGTATATTTTGTGAAATTGTGATGATAATGATTGCGTCTTTGAGGCGTGCCGCCTATACATATCTATATATTTTACTAGTCATTCTATGCATGTATATTTTGTTATTTGATATGCTATATATGCGACGCTGCTGTGCTGTATCGCTTTTCTGAGTATAGGAAAAGAGTATAGATAGGAGTATAGAATTTTCTATGATATAGAAAGCGTTATGTAGATAGGGCGGTAAAAACATATAAAAGGCCGCGAGTTGAGATATAGAGAGGCTGGTCGTTTGTTATCTTAATTTTAGGTTTTGGTCTCTTGCTTGTCAGTTGTATTATTAATAGATTAATTTTGGACTTATCGTTTTGTTTTAATAAGGACAGAGGTTTGATTTGTATTACTTTGTTTGTTATTTTATTTCTTTTATTGAATAAAAGAAGTGTACACTTGAAGTTTGGCTCGACTTAATTATTCTACCTAAAATAATGGATGTTGAAGAAGACTTGTTGATAGTTGAAGAGGTCGGCGTCTCTAGTCAACAAGCAGGGCGCGAACAAACTTCCGCCCGGCCCGTGTTTTCAGACCCTGAGAGGGTCTATTGTAGAGTGGCGGATCCCGGCCAGGAAAGACTCCGCCGAAGCGAAGGCTCGGGTGGATATTCGTATGCGGACGCGGTTCGGGACCGCGTGGTGCGGAATTCGAATGTCGCCCGGCGAAAATCTACAAAGTTATCAAAAACATATTTTAATCATGCATTATTATCACACTTATTATTGCTCTCTGGAAAAATTTAGATAAAAATATCATAACTAAAATATTAAGAAATATGTACGCTCCACACAACATTTTAATAAACTAGACAGCTTCCTATTTAGAAATTAATTGAAGAAGGGTGATTTGTATTTTATTCTGTTAGTTTTTAAAATGTTAGATATCAAAAAGGAGGGGCGTTAGAATTTGTTCAAAAATTGAGTATCATCAAAAGTATTGAAAAAAGAAAGAAACATTTTATCATCACTGAAATGTTGAAAAATTTAAAAACACCCACGATTACCGACTGGATAAAAAAATTAGAAATGCAAATAAAAAATGAGAATAAGTGGACGTAAATGATTTTTTATAGCAACCTGAGACTACATTGAGGAGCTAGCTGAAACTTTTCGTTAACTTATTCGTAAAATATATCAAAATATATCATAATTTAACGTGAGAAAATCTTAATTTTTATTTTAAAAAGAAAACATGAACCATTAAGATATAGGGGAGAATGGCTTGATCGTTTTGAAGCAATGCATGGTGTATTGAAGTAGTTAGTGTATGACGTATTGAAGGAGCGTATGGTGTAGTTTATTGTGAAAAAGTGGCAAAAAGAAAATGCCGATATCTAGCAGCCTTCCTTGCAACTCAATTACTAACTCAATTGATAAAAAAAAACAGAATCGCAAATTATGATGCAATGAGTATGTACATTTGAAAACAATTGGAAACAATTTTTGCAATTGAGGTTTCTATACAAGATATAGTTCAGAAGAAAAGTAGGACAATGAGAGGACGGGTAAGTAATGCCGATGTCATGCAAGATTCATGTCTGATGCCTGGTAGTTTTGAGGATGTGATAGAGAACAATGTTGCAGCAGTGGAAACAATAGCACACTGCAGCAAACTGAAAATTCGGATGTTGAAGAAAAGCTAATAGAAAAGCAGCTAATTGTTCGCAGAGCAATCATACTGGTGCTTCATCAGCGTTTGAAACTTTGTGTTTGTGTTCTCGTAAATTTTTAAATTTGAAAATTGACAAATTATTTTTTTGCATATGGAGTTACAAAAATATTTGTATTAGTTAAAACATATCTTAAACATGATTTACCAATATTTTTTACTACAATATGTTCTACTGTACATTCAACTAGAATGCATTTCGAATAACCAAACAATAATAACATACCCAAATACAATTGACATTTACAAAAAAAGTATTATGCAACTATGTATCAAAAACAAAAATAAGGATACAAAAATTATTAAAAAAATTTGAGAACTAATTCTTATCAAGGGCATTTCGTAATCTTAAAAGTATTATTTAACAATCATTGCCATGTGCCATCATTATTGATAAAAAATACCAAATTAGGCATACTTTCCCTCAGTGAACAAACCTTAAATCATTAAGCTGAGGAAACCTGCACAATCTCAATGTTTTTGAGTTGGCTCCAACAATATAGACGTCCCCACTTGGATGGAAGGACATCGTTCGGATAACTTGTGAATCCTCCAACAATGTTACCGGAACAAATCTGGGCTTGCCACGACCCCCCGTGCTGTCTGCCACTGTTGCCTGGTTACGTAGCAAAGAGAAAAAAAATTTTCTCAAACTATTCACTGTGTGTGTGTATGTGTGTGAAGCAAATATAACAGTTAAAAAATAGCATATAAATGTATATATAATGTAAATATAAATAATAATATATAATAATTATAATAATATAATGTATATGGAAAGAAAAAATATAATTGTACCATCTAAGCATAAGAAGTGCTCAGATGGTAGGTTACAGTAAGGAAGCACTTTGAAGTCATTGTTGAAAGGAGTACCAGCAAATTAATAAAAATCAAATCTGAACATCTTTGACAGAATAAATACTTACCTTGTCAACAATGTGTTGCGATTTAGGAGCTATGGATGATGATGATCCAACGCTGTTGTTGTCACTGGCTGGAAGCATATAAAAATTAATCAGAGCTGAAACTTTTGAAATCAACACTCCACCAACATTTAGTAGTATAGAGAAATCAAGTGATAAGCAGAGGTGGATTAGTCCAAAAATATACCAGCCAATGCATCGTAAACAATAATTATATAAAATATTACCATGCACAAAAATTAAATTTAAGCTAAATAAACAATTTGAAAGCAAAGCCATTATTTTGAAGCAACAAAATCAAGCAACTATATATAAACAAAATATGTGAAATAATTAAAATAAAAACAAAAAAATACCACAAAAGAACTTTTGGAGGTCATCATGCATATTAGCAATTTGAGGAGTGACCATCCCATTGTCACTGTACCAACTTTGAGCCTGCTCCACTGATACAACAACTTCCAATGCCTTTGATTCGTCGGGAGACATGCTATGTGGCAAATCTTTATTTTCTGAACCAGTGGCAACATTCAAATCCAGCATCTTAGTTTCAGGTACATCACTAAAAAGAATATCTTTTTTATCCACATTCTCCACATCATCAGCACTTTGTTTACTTTCACTGCTGCAGGCACCAAGGTCGTCATCATCATGCTTCAATTCAGTTGTCTTTTTGCATGCTAACTGCGATACACTATTGCTGGCTTCCATTTTATTATTTATATCGTTAGGTCCATCTTTTCTTGTAACTTTAACTGGTTCTTTACACATTTCTGTTTGACTTTTTGTCCAAAAAGTCAAATTGGGACCTTTTTTGGTATCATATACGGGAGCCATCCAGTTGCTGTTGAGATCTATGTTTTCATCATTACCATCATCATCATGACCTCCCCAGCCATCTCCATTATCACCATTGATGATGGAGTATGGCGTTGAAACGTTGCATCCACCACTTACTTCAGCAGCAAACTTTCCACACGAAGACTCCCTGACATCACACACCACGCTGCTTCCAGTACTTTCGTTCTTATTCATCCTGTAGCAGATGGATTCTTCCATAACACCACCACCGTCATCATCACCACGATCTTCGTCATCACTGTAAGAGAAATTGTGGTCATGAATGTCACTTCTATCTCTTGCATAAAAGTGTGGCAACATGCAATCAAACTTTGAAGGAGTGCTTCTGTAAAATGTTTCATCGGACAGCCACGATGCAGTCATCCATACCTTGGAACTTTTCATCTTGCATTCCTTTTTTAACCTCTTGTTATCATATATCTCGATATCATTGTCGTCGTCACAGTTACTGGACATAGGTGTTTTGTTCCTGGAACCAACTCTTGATATTTTAACATTATCGACATCAGAAAAATGACTTGTGTGATAAGACGCAGGTGAATCTGTACGAGAATATCTTTTTGCAGATAAATTTCGACGCCCAACCACTTTCTTTGAAGTTTCGTAGGCAGCTGACTTGGAAGTTCTAGCCAAAAAGAGATAACTAGCGATATCTTCGTTATCGTCGTCATCATCAGTGTTATCACGACGACGACGACGATGATCACAATGATAAGTTTTAGGCAGGTTACGATAAAAAGAATTGTTATCTCTTGATGAGGCAGCTTCCTTATGAGTTTGTGTCCATTGTTCTTGCGACCTCATAATGCTTCTCAGTCTGTGTGGGCCTTCAATATGAACAAATGCTCAATGTAAGGCATAAGGTCTGCACAGCAGCAGTGTGCGTGCGTGTGATTTTGTATATAACCTTAATCAGTGGATACGACGTGTTACACATAAATGACAAGAACAGATAGGAAATGCAACATCGTTTAATCAAATCATTCATATGTGAGTGAACCGTTAAAACTTCACCTTGTTACGCTAACAAACATAAACCAGTGATTCTGAAAGTTTTAGTTAGTGAAAATTTGAAAACGTTATTATAACACGTCACGTTTTATTGAAAGAACAAACGAAATGTAAGTAGAAGAAACATAAAAACAAATAAGCTGGTCAGAAAACTATCAAAAGAGGTTGACGTTTCATGTCATATTTTATTTGGAAAAAAATTTTAACTGGTAAAGAAATTAATTGTAACTAAAACAATTGTTACAATGTGAAAAAAATTTCAAATAAGAAAAACATCATAAAAAACAATCAATCAATCAATTTTCGTTTAGCGTCCAGAAACCCAGTTTCCCGAGGTAGGACGTCTTAAAAAACAGAAGATAGTTATTATTATTATTAAATATTAAGCAAAAAACATTCTTAATGTTTGAAATAAAGAAATTCCCAAGCATATGAAATAATAACAAATAAGTTACACAGACACACATAAGAAAATCTAAGCAATCAAACAGGCAGAGAACAGAACAACAGAACACATAAGGAAGGCAAAAACGCCTTATAATGATGATAGGTGATTCATATTGCGCAATATTATCGGTTATCTTGATTCTTTGTTATCTTTTTTATCTTGCTATATTTGTAATCTTTTGAATGTAAAAACCTACTGTAGAGGCTATATAAGGTCCTGATGAGAGAGGTTTTTAGAAGGGTTTGAAGCGAGGCTTGATGCAAATTTGTAAATGTGATTTATGTAGCTACTTGGATTAGTTTAGTGTTTATATAACTGTTGGCATTCAAATAAACGTTCGACAAAGTTTGCATTTGAAGCAGTTGTGTTCATCTATCAGAAATCTTGAACCTACGAAATAACAAAAACTTGACGATCGTTGGAATCCACAACACCGGTGTTGAAAATATAGAGATCTTTGAAGTTATAACATTGGTGTTGGTATAATAGTTACGAGTGTCAAAGGTTACAACAATATCATATTGCACTTAGCCACTTATAACTACAGCAGGTACACACACACGAATGTGTTTATTATTAATTGAGTGAGCAAACTAATAAGTGTACACACTCACACACACACACTCCAAAACATATCTCGGAGGATTATAACGAAAATTGGTTGTGTTTATCATTCACTTGTGCAATATTAATACAACAATATACAATGTTAATGAAAAGTTAATGAAAGAACTTGTAGGTGATCAACAGTAAACTTGAAAAATAAGTTAAACAAAACAAATCAACTGTGAAAATTATATATATAGTTGAAAAATAGTGATAGTGATAATGCTTAATAAGATTCATTAACATTCCCATAGCAACACAATCAACATGAACATGGCTACTCATCCATTAACATTTTTTTCCACACATTCGAAACAGCAGCCACTGTCTGAAGAACAATAAGGCGGAACAAGAACAAGATACACATCTACACGACAACATGGTAACAAATAACTTCCATCCATCAAACGCAACACAGACACAAGTTCAGATGAAGATTAAACATTAATTAATAGCACCAATCCAACAGTACAAAATTACTTAGATTTTGTTGCTGAGAACTGATGAGTAGCCTCTGGTGATCAGCATCTGAACTGGCTCGAGGTTTATTTGTGAGAGTAACTCCTGTTGATAACATCTGTTTTGTGATGTTAGTTGGCTTGTGTTTGTCCAGTGCATCACATTTCTTAGTGCTCTCTGATTGCTTCGGTGTCTTTGATATGGAGCCTTCGTCTTCACTTGTCTCGCTGATCTTGCTGAACTTGTCCGCTGCTACTCCTCCGGATAAAACTTCTGCATAGCCATTAACCGGTTCACCTTCTTCAAACAACTTATCAACTGATGCAATCATGGCTGCTACTGTGGTGTTGTTCTTTGAGGACTTTGTATTGAAACTGGCAACCTGCTGTTGTTGTTGCTGCTGTGGATTCAATCTGAAACTTGCAAATGACTTGGGGAGGTTGTCTGCATTGTTTCCAGTTACGACAGACATCTTCATAGGACCGGCAGCATATTTGCACGATCGATCTAACTGACAGTTGGTGAGTGATTGTGACAGAACATCTCCCGATCGACGAGTTGATGGAATGGCGTTGTGAGGAAATTGACGAGGTTTGATGGGATTGGCCAGGATGTGTTCTGACCACGAGGCCTCCAGACTCGGCTTGCTCAGTGGAGTGATCTTGAGATTAAGAGTTTTTTGATCAAATGGGCATTCAAACACTTTCTTTGGTACTGCCTGATTAGGTGATGAAAAAAAATTGATTGATTAATTAGTTAAGTGGGTAAAAAATCATTGATTTGCAGCACATAAAAACATGTAGTAAAGAATTTAGAGTATTGTAATGTGCACAGGATGATGGTGGTGGTCGGCTGAGTTGTCAGAACTGATAAAATATCATGTATTGTGTATCATGTATCATACATCATGTATTTTCAGGGAAGCTAATTATTATCGCGGGTGGGCTATTGCAACAGTCTGTTTTATGGCCTCCCAAATAAATCAATTAAAGTACTTGAGTCGATACAGAATAGAGCGGCAAAAGTTATTGTTGTTTAATCATGTGAATCAGACTCTGAGAGATCTTCACTGGTTGACCGTTGAAAATCGGATAATTTTAAAAGGGTGTATTTTGATGTACAAGGTCATGAATGGATTTTTGCCTAAATATTTGTTAGAAATAAATAAGAAAAAATCAGTTAGTTCGGAGGGTATTTGCTTGAGAAGTCATCGCTCAAACTTAATGATAGCAAACAGTGCTCAATTGTATACTGGTGCACGAAGGATTGCTGTTGCGGGTCCGGCGTTATGGAATGGTCTGCCAGAGTCTTTGAAGAAACCGGAGATGACCATCGATGCCTTCAAGATGAGTCTTAAAACTTATCTGTTTTGCTGTTTTTCAGATGTCTGCAGCTAATTATAGCATGTGACTTATGTTAAACATTGTACGCATTGACGGACATTTACCGCTCTAATGTGTAATCAATGATTGTTTATCTTTCCGAGCATGTACTCAAACAATTGTTTATTTGTGTGACTACAAAGAAATTATCTTTTTATTTAATTTGCGTTGTATAAATGTTTTGAAATAAATAAATATTCATTCAACATTCAACTATGTATTATTTACATTAAGTGGTTTCAACATTGCTAAAGTCAACTGTGATCCGAAAATTATAGCAACTAAATTTATTGTATATAATCAAGATAAATAACAGAAATTGAAACTTGAAAAAGTGAACTAGAGTTGTATGAATTTTAGGGTGGGATTGGAAAACAAATTCAATGCAATTTTTCTATGCACTGTTATAAGCATGTAATTAATTATTAATTAATATATAGACTGAAGCAATGTAAGCTACTCGGCATTGAAGCAATGTTAAACGAAGTACAACTCCCAGCATTATCAGCCTTGACAACATTTAGGCATTCAGGTGGTCTGGGACATGTAAGAAATCGACAACTGGGCAGGCTACATGCAAGCTGTCACTGTTGGTGAACATGGTCCAACATCAGTTGTTTGAATGTTACTCGTTATTGATCTAAAGCTAAACTCATTGGCTATCTGAATATTCTTTGAAAAAATGGCAAATCCAGATTTAATCGTTTCGGAAATGCTTTGGATTTTAAATGACAATTTGTTAAATCTCGAAAGTGAAAATTTAAAACATTTTCTAACAAATAATTTCTCGCACGAGGAAAAAATTTTACTATCAGAATTAGAAATTCTAAAATTAGATAAGCCTAAACTATCCACCCGTGGAAATACCAAACTGGACAAGGTCAACGAAATTATTGACGTTTTCAAATATCTGATGGATAATAAGTTAATTGATAAAATTGCTACTTTCGTTATTCTAAATATTAAAAAGGTACTTGCTCACTCAGTTGACAGCATTTCCGAAGTTGTTAATAGAAAAATTAATTCAGTTCTCGACCGTCTGGATTACTTGGGAAAATTAGTAATTTCCAACTGCGAAAATACTGCACAAACTTTTGCTTCAATAAAAGATTTGAAAACTTCCAGGGTGCCATATTCCCAAGCTGTCCACTCTGGGCTCCTTCTAGCTCACAGCTCAACAGTCCCAAAAAGTACGTCTTTTTTTTTGAAAAATAATATAAACAATGTTGACACAGATAAAAAAGCTGGTTTTAATGATGACATGGTGAAAAATGATAATATGTGGGCAGATTCCATCCCAAGTCCTAATGGAAATGTTGAAAATCCATTCACACTAGTGTCTAGGTCTAGTGTGAATGGAATAGTGTGAATAGTGTCTAGGAAGCACATAAAGCATAAAGTTAATACTAACAATTCTGAAAGGTTAAAAGATCCAGATAACTTAATTAAAATTCCAGCAGTTACTAAACTCAATAAAAGTATAATTGCTGATAACTGCAAACTTCAAGCTGACAGAGAGTTATATAGAAGATCATTTATTTGCCTCAGCAATGTTAAGAAATGCCATAAAGATGATGTAGTATTTGAAATCAAATGAGATAAATGTCCTTTCTTGTTTCCCTGTTTTCAAACGTTCAGATGAAAACAATGTGGAGACTAACGAAAATGTTCATTCCTCTATGTTCAGAGTATGTATAGAAAAATGTGATTTGCTAAAATAAAAAATCCTGACTTGATGCCTAAACATGTCTTAATAAGAGATTGGAAATTTGGTAAACCAAATAACTTATCTAATGTTAAACTAAACAATTTAAATCATTTTTCACTTTGTCCAAGTAACTCCTGTAATTATTACGACACAAGTGAGTTAAACTTCAATTTTAATAGTAATAATAATGAAAATAAAAAATCTGTTTTCTCTTTATTTCATGTTAATGCAAGAAGTTTATATGGTAAATTATCTGACTTAAGAATGCTACTGGATTTTTTCCCATCTCCATTTGTTGCAGTAGTTGTCTCAAAAACATGGCTGAACCATATAACAGCTCCTCTAATCTCTTTACCTAATTACAACTTTGAATATCTTAACCGAGATGGAAGAGCTGAGGGCAGTGTTGGAATATTTCTAAACAGGCACATCATGTATGAAGTTTGTGAGGGTAAGGATATACTTACTGACCACATTGAAACACTCTCTGTAAAAATAATATTGAATAGAAATCAAAGCATCAAAATCATCGCAGTGTACATATGATTTCAAAAACAAATTTTGTAAAATTGAAATCGGCGTGCCAAAGTTTGATGAACTTTTATATAAAAATAATAAATATAGCAAGAATTCATTATTTTTGATGAAAAAGTTCACCCACCAACAGATTTTTTAGTTTGCAAATAATCCATTTTTTTCGTTTTTTTTAAGTTCACTTTTAATCTTATAGTTTACAATTAAATTTCATTTTTCTGTTCTCCATGTTGTGTTTCTGCATTTTAACCCAGTTTAAACAATTATTTTAATTTTACATCGTTTCATTTTGGAAAATGTCTTATAAACAATCTTCACTTTCTGTTACTAAAAATAAAGACAAATGGTCAAGTAATTTGAAAAAATTTCAAAACACTCTTAAGAGAAGAAACAAAATCAGAATTGGGATCAAACCATTGTATTCACATTCCAGAATGCCAAAAGAGTGGATGATAATTGGTAGCTACTTAGGCTTGGCCTCTACTGAAAAGTCTAGATTAAAAAGAATTACAACACTCAGACAAGAAATAGAGCAATTGTGGAGCTTGTTGAATTTTCCAATACTATCTTTGCGTTCAGTAGGCAGAAAAATTGAAACTTTACTTAAAAAGTATGATATTCATTTGAAAAAAGCTGTTGGTGACATGCGTGAGCAATTTGATAAGTTGTTTGATGTCACAAACAAAACTGGTCAATGGCTATGTGCAGAAGACAAAATATTTTACCAAATTCAAATTCAGAGTGGAGGTAAGACAGGATATGCAACAACAAAAAATGCCAGTCAGAGTACAATTCACCCATCAAAACGAAAAATTGCTGGAAAAGTTAATGATAAACTAGAACAAAAAGACAGTTTTGAAAAAAGTTCCAATGACTCAAGTGACAATGAAGATTCTCAAAGTAGTTCTGATGACTCTGAAGCAACACAGTCATCCATTGAAAGCTTGGATCAAAGCACACATCTGAAGCAATCTCAACAGTCTACGTTTAGTGCAGTTTCATTAGTACAATCTGGGAAGCTGTCAGTTCGAAGAGCAGCCATAGTTATTACCATTTTAAACAAGTCCGGTGTTAAAATAACTCCTCAGTCAGGTGTCTATAGAGCGGTATACAGAGAAGCAAGTAAAGTAATGAAAACATTAATGAATAATAATAGCTCATGGTGTTTACATTTTGATGGTAAAATTATTAAGAAAAAAGAACACCAAGTAGTTCTATTAAGAAATGAAGTAAAAGAAGTGAGGCTTGCTGTCTTAGTGTTACCAGATGGAAAAGCTACTACTATTGCATCTGCTATTCAAAAAACGTTGGATGATTATAATCTATGGGCAGCTATAAAGATGATAGTGTCAGACACTACAAATGTTAATACTGAGTCAAAGTCTGGTGTTGTGGTGAGACTTCAGAAACTTTTTGTTCAACACGGTGAATCTGCGCCAGTTTTTATAGGTTGTCAGCACCACATACTTGATCGTGTTCTTAGACACGTGTGTGATGCATTGCTTGGCGATTCAACTGAGTCTCCTAACATGAATTATCCATTTGTGAGTAAGATACTTAAAGATTATGAAATGTTAAAAAAAGATTTTGAAAGTAAAGCAAAGAAATGTACTCTAAATCTAAAAGAACAGGAAGTAGGCTGGAGAGATGATATGAAGTTTTTGCACCATCTAATTTGCGTTTTCAAGCATTTTAAGAATTTTCAACAAATGCCAAAAGTTAATTTTAAAGCACTCCCTGGCATCAGCAATGCCCAATGGAATTCTCGAGCAATTTTTGCATTGTTGGCTTTCATACTACTGCCTGATGAACGAAAGAACCTTCAGAAATTGTGTGAATTTATCTGTGGACAATAGAGTGATGCCTTGTTTAGTGATCATTATTACAGAACTGAACAATATGAATTTCTTTTATATGCTGTTAATGAATATCCTAAGGCGTTGCGCTGTTTTCAAACTCATTGGTCTCAAAGTCCATCTTCCATACACACTCAACGCAGCAATGTGTGTGCAGAAAGAGCAATAAAAGTTCTACAAGATATTGCTCCTCTTTGCCACTCATCTGAGAAACTAAATTTACGTTTTATTTTTACAAATAAAAGTTTATGAAACCATACAAGAAATAATTGACAAATGACAATTTTTTTTAAAACTTTAAAATGTTTAGTGGGTGACATTTTTCAACTTTTTTAATAATTTTGATATGGTTTTGTGTTTTTACAATAAAAAGTCATCAATTGATGGTATGCCATGCATGTGTTGTTCTGAAGTCATATACCTAGTGTACAGACCACCAAATTCAAATTTTAAAGATTTTCTTTCCAGCCTAGAATCAATTTTTCAAAACAGTAAATTGTTATCTTATGTTGTTGGTGATTTTAATGTTGAATTATACAACAATTCTAGTAATAATAATTTACTGTATCAAAATATTCTTTCAAGTTACAATTTTACTCCGTTAATCAATCTGCCAACAAGAGTTTAATCTTCCTCATCATCATCCTCAATTGACAACATATTTACTAATGTTAACAAAGTTCATCAATGTGGTGTGATAATCTCAGATTTTTCAGACCACTTCCCTATTTTTTGTTTCTCAAAAACCTTGGTTCCTGAATTCAAAATGAATAAATCTTTTAATATAAAATTCTCAAAACTAGCCATAACGAACATTAAAAGAATTTTGATGGTAACCAACTGGGATCCAGTTCTTAAAAGTGATGATGTCAACCGTTGTTGTGAGAATTTCTACCAAATAACTAATAATATTATAGTTAAATTTGCTCCACTCAAGTTCACCAAGTCTCGTCCGCCCAACTACGCCTTGGTTTAATCCTAAAGTCTCAAAGTTATTGAAGCGTAAAAACTATTTATTTCATTAATTTGTCAAAAATCCAAACGACACTAACTCTTACAAATCCTTCAGAAATTTCTTCAAAAAAAAAATCAAGCGTTTTTTACAAAAAACATATTATGAGAATAAATTATCTTCATTTGATAACGACTTACAATTGATTAAGAAAATCATGAACACCAAAAAAATATCCAAACATCAAACGACTCAAAAACGGTGATTCATTTATATAATCAAATGATAACATCAGCAACCTCTTAAATGAAAATTTCATCAAATCCATTGACAACATTCAACAAATATTTGAAATTAATTCAATTCCAAAACATAGTATTTTAACAGCACCAAATGCTGACTCAATATGCTTTCATGAAATAAATCACCAAGAAATCTATTATATAGTTAAAAAATTTAAACTAAAAAAGCAATATCAAATGATACCTACAGCATGTTTATAATTAAATTATTCATAGACGTTTTGGTAGTTCCTATTACTCACATCTGTAACACTTCCTTGAGCTCTGGCAGATTTCCGAATCTCTTCAAAGTTGCTAAGGTAATTCCAATTTTCAAGAAAGGCAACCCAGAATTAGTTGGTAATTATAGACCAATTTCATTACTCTCCCCTTTCTCAAAAATATTAGAAAAAGCTGTTTTCAACAGATTGTCTACATTCATCGAACGTTGTAATATCCTCAGTAACAACCAGTATAGATTCAGAAATAATCATACAACCGACCTAGCCATTCTTCAATTCAACCAACAGGTTTTGAAGAGTCTTGAGAGAAAGGAAATGACCTTGGGAGTTTTCATAAACCTATCAAAAGCCTTTGATACCATCAACCATGAATTGCTCTTATGTAAATTGTTTCAATATGGCTGTCGTGAGCAGGTTTTGGATTGATTCACCTCTTACCTATCAGACAGATCGCAATATGTGCATGTGAATGGTTCTAACTCCTCCATCTTATCAACAAAATGTGGAGTCCCACAGGGTTCCATTCTTGGACCAGTTCTGTTCCTCTTATACATTAATGATTTGCCTTCAACTATTAACTATATTCTCTTCGCTGACGATACAAATTTATTTTACTCCTCACGTAACTTGAACGAAGACAGTGAATTGATTAACGCAGAGATCTCAAAGTACGATGAATAGTTCAAGTGAATCGTCTATTGATTAACATTGAAAAATGTGCCTACACGATTTTTGGTCCAAGAATGCAAACAAGATCTGCTCAAAATATGAAAATTTGTCTAAATAATACCAGTATTCCGCGCATTGACTCTATTAAATTTTTGGGAATTCAATTACAAAGTAACCTTACATGGTCATCTCACATCACTTTTGTCCTTAAAAAATTAAATCAATTTCTTGGTATTATGTATAAATTGAAAAATAATTTTAATTTCTCAACATTAAAATCCTTGTACTTCTGTTTTATTTATCCATATTTATGTTATTGTGTTCAGTGTTTACAGTACACCGTTGTTTGTCATAAGGCAGGCTAATCAGTTGGAAATAGAGAAACCATGCACAACATTCGATTAGCTCCTTTCCATCAAAGCACTTGACATTGGAGTTCATAACAAGCTTTTCTCAACTAATGTTTCGACAAATGAGTCTACCCCTGAAGACATCAATAGATGTTTCCAAGATTTTGGATAAAAAACATAAACCAAACCAAAACATAAACCAAACCAAACCAAATCATTTGTGAATAAAATGGATTAAAAAAACCAGAGATACTTTTTTCGGATATTACTGGATTTTGAAGGCCATTTCAATAATACTAGACAAAAAATGACACAACAACCTAAACTTCAGCTACATCATCAACCAAAGTCACAGCCACAACAGCCACAACCACCATCACATCAACAAATTTTCAGTCTGTTCTGTATTGGTATCAAACAGACTAAATTAGCTTTTGCATGGTTTAATAAGTTCATTGATTAACCCTTTTTAAACTATGGCAAATGATAGGAATTGGTCAGTTAGAGGAATTAAGCTGTAAAATAAAACTGTTAGTGTAAGACAGAGACACGCCAAATTTTTTAAATTTTGTTAAAGGAAGTTTGATTAAAAATGTTGTAGAGTTTGACTAAATTTCGGGATTATGTGTCTTATTGATTTTTTATCATTTTCATTAGTATGCATTAGAATCTTGAATTGATTTCTGTTTAATTTTTTATTAGGAAACAGTTTTGATTTTATTTGTATATGCTGTTTATTCTGTTTATAAATTGCATATTTGTTTATTGTTAATATCAAAAGAAAATATTGAACTTTTGCACTTAGTTAAAAAGTAATCAGCACAAGTTTTTTTAAACTTCTTGATTGCCTGTGATGTCAAAAAAAATTTTTTTTTGTTTGTATATTTTTGAAAAAATGGCATCGAGACCGCCAGTAATTCACGAGTTGCTATATTTTTTGGAAAGTAACTGTTCCTCAGTTAAAAATGCTACGTTTATTGACAACATATTCGAGTTTTATAGCCATGAGGATATTAATTCTGCAATTAAGTTGTTAAAAAATGAAACTGTTTTGCTTAAAGTTGAAAAAATTCAACATCGGGGAAACACGAAGCCTGATAAAATGTTGGAATGTATTTCTATTATAAAATTTTTGAAAGATAATAAACTCTAGGAAAGCTGCCCAATTTTTGTAAGTGCTAATTTAAAGAAAATTCCAAAATTAGAAAATATTTTAACTTTGAACTATAGAAAATTTAAAAGTGAATTAGTACATTTGTTATGTAAACAAGAGATTAAACATAGCTATCAAAAACATTTCAGTTTGTGTTGACCATTTGATAGTGATGTTTTACAATCTGGGGTACCGCAAGGTTCTGTGCTGGGCCCACTGTTGTTTATGCTTTGCACGGCTGATTTTCTAAATGTGGTGAATGAATTTGGTTTCAGGGGCATTGCATATGGTCGATACCATCAAGTGGTTACCAGCACTCCAACTAGTTTTTGTTGTTGGTTAAAAAAAAGACTTGTTAAGTGTCCTCCTAAGATTGATGTTTGGATGAACCAAAATGGCATTCGAATGGATAAGTCCAAAACAAACCTACTTCCCGTTGGTACGTGGCAAAGACTGTCACAGACAGACTTAAATTCAGTTAAAATTGATGACACTGTGATTGATTCTTGCAGAAGTTCAATTGTCCTTGGATTTACTATCGACACCAATTTGAATATGTGTGATCACGTGAAAAAAGTGTCTGCCATGTATGAATATGTTTCAGTTTCGTCGTATTAGACTAATTAAAAAGTGTTTAACTAAGAAAACTTTATGCGCTCTTATGCACGCTTTCATTCATTCACGTCTTGACTACTGTAATAGCCTTTTGTATGGTTTTCTAAAAAGGAAATAGCCATGCTGCAATCAGTTCAAAATAGGCCCGCCAGGATTGTTACCGACAGTAGCTGTTGTGACCATATTGCGCCAGTTTAAAACAACCTTCACTGGCTGCCTATTCATAAGAGAATTATTTATAAAATTGTTATTATGGTTTTTAGATGCCTGAACAATTTGGCACCCAAATATATAAGCGAACAAAGGAGGTGTTGAGTGACTATGATTTGAGATCAAGTAGTGTTAATACGTTGGTCACGACTGTGACCAAGCTTAAGATTGGTTCGCGTAATTTCTCTGTAAGTGGTCCATCTGTTTGGAATGCTCTTCCTTGTTGCTTGTGTCAAACTGGATTATCACTGGGTCAGTTCAAGAGGGAACTTAAAACACACTTGTTTCGAATCTGAATTTTTAAAACTTGCTTCTTTTATAAAACAGTAAAGCGCCTATGAGAACACTTGTGTTATAATCGGTGCTTTATAAGTTTCCAAATAATAATAATTATTTATTAAAAATCGAAAAGTGTATCACATTTATTATGGTTAACAACACATATAGTTTTCTTTATTAATTGCATTTTGAATACAATTGCAATTTGTGTTAATACTTATTAGTGAAAAAAGACCTTTATAGAAATACCCCATTATGAGCCAGAGGTAAAAAATTTTCACTAATTGAGTTTTTTACAATGTTTTATAAATGCCATTGCTTTGTTATTCTATGTTTCAGTTTTTTAGCAGATATATATTCATTAAAATGGTTTCAGATATTTTTCTGTCAATACCTATCAACATCCTATATATCAACATAGGATACTAGAACATTTATTTTGTAGTGGTTTTTACACAGATTCTAGCCTACTGAACCACTTTAAACTTTGTTATTATTATTTGATTAGAAATGCTGTTTCCGATTATCAATATTCAAAATTAAAAATAGCTCATCGTGAATTAAATTTATTCACTATTCCATATTTTGTGATGCTTCAAAAAAATTGATAATTTTTTCACACTCAATTTATTAATTATTAAAATTACTACAAGCATAGGGTTAACACATAACAGCTTCTACCTAGCAAGGCTGCCACCAAAAAAATATCAAATTCTGAAACTATCCATTACCAGCTAATGGTACAATCAATCCTTCTCCATTTTTTAAAAATTAATATTTAATATTATTTAAAATTAATATTCAGTATTTAATTTTTATTTTTTTTTACTTTTTTTTGGACGTATATATTTTCTCATATTTTTCCTGTTCATTCTTCCCTTGTTTTATTTTTATTATGTTGCCTTTTTTATCATTCAAATTTAGCAATTGCTACAAGTTGCTACCATTTTAATGCTTTAGTTTTTTATCACATAGAACAACTATAACAATTTGTTGTCCTAATACATTTTTTTACACATAAACATATTACAAGGTCAGCTTTTAAGTAATACAGTATAGTTCAAACCCTATGTAATTCAGACAAAACATTTTCTTAATAATTTATCTTAATATAATTTTTCAACTCAGCACAACTCTTACAACTAACTCGAGGTCAGCATTCAAGTAGTATAGTTCAAATCTTATGCATTTGAATAAAAAAAAAATTTATAAATTTTTTTCACTAAATTGTTATTCAATGACAGAATTTTTCGTTCAACTTTACATCTTTTATAAATCTTATATGGAAATAATGATAACCTAAAACCATGCCTCGAATTGAAGAATAATAAAAAAAATCACTAAAAATAATTTAATCTACAAATCTTAACTTATTTAGAACTTTGGACTAACTAATACAGTGCACATGGCTAAATTTTTTTAATGGTTGGGAACAAACATATCTGAAAGCTCAAATAACTAAGGTTATTTCATTGTATTTGTGATCTACTTATATCAAGAATAATTTTTAACCCATTCTCGATGTTAAAGAATTTTTTGTACACTGACTAGGTTCATCTCATTGCTCCAATGCTAATTTAACATGCAATAAACGTTTGCTCATGGAGTTATCAGTCTATCAGATGACACAATTTACTAACTACTGGAATCCTATGTTTACTGAACCTGACAGATTAAAAGTATTATTGAATAAAGAATGTAAGCATTGCTTAAATAAGTAAGGATGTGTACATAAAAAGTAAAGACATGGTTTTGTTGTAAAATTAAAAAAGCATTCATATAACAAACATACATTAGCAGTGTGTATTATTTTTTATTAATTATTATTTCATGATATAAACAAACTTAATTATGGCTAATCAATGCATCACCAAACAACTTTGAAAAAGACATCAAACAGCTGATACCAACTGACCTGAAGCCAGGAAACCAGGCTGACATCTCCATCCCTGCAACCCCCACTAGAAAGCAAATTTGGAATTTTTATTTGACCATAATCATCATAATCATCATCGACCTCGTCATCCTCATTTGTTGTTGCTCTTTTTTGACAGAATGTAACACAGGATTCATAGAGCAGACCCTTTACCAACAATTGCACCAACCTATCTTCTGTTGAACACTCATCATTTGACGTCTGCTTCTTCTTATCGACTTCTTTCACTAGCAGGTGTTGAACCAATGGGTAAACCTCATTGAAACACTCCACCCTAGCGTTACTAGGATTCCAGTTAGTAAACTGTTGATGGCTACAGAAATCAGAAACTGACATGAGCAGGCACAAACTGTTGAACTCGTCCTTCGTCGGACACAAACTTTCTAACTGGTTCACACACTTTATAATGTCATCAACCATATTTTCATAGGCCTGTGTATTTCCTGATTCCGATTTTAGACAAAGCAGTTCCAAATACTTGTGTTTGAATAGAATGTACTGAAAATGTTTGTAATCAAAGGAATCCATCTCAGTCAGCGGCTGAATAAACTCAATGGCGTCTTCCCACTGTCCATCAAGGACGAGCTGCCTCAGGAACAACATGTCATCCGAATAGTTGCCGTTTATAACTCCCGACTCCCTCTCCAACGACAGCATGGCGATGTTCATGTTCCGCTTGGCGAGAAACTCCAGCACCATTTTGATGACCTGTGCCTCCGTGAACGACACGTTGATCGTAGGCATGCTGCTGGGCCGGAAGGGATGCGATTTATAATACGAGTGAAGTTGTTTCCACTTGTTTCGACATCTTTAATTTGAACTTAATTTAATTTAAACTTTAAATAATGTAAACAAAATTTCACACCTCCAACTAACGACCAACCGCGATGTTGTTGTTTTCTTATTTTATTATTTTTTCAAGGACGCGTTTTCTTTTTTGGCTTTTTTGAACTTAGGTATTTAAATATTAAAATTGCACCTTTCAATTTGATGTCCGCATTTTAACCGTTACTTCCATGGATATAAGATATATATATATATATATATCCATGGTTACATCACTTTTTTAATTAATAATTGATCGTTTTTCAACTTAACCATTATCATCATTGAAGAGCCCAATCATTTAAGTAAAACATAGCATGTCATATGTTATATTCTATATATACGTTTTCAGTATTTCACTTTAAACGATAAATATTTTTATAATTCTAATAATTAACAGTCTTATCATCTTATCATCAATTCACTTTAGACATAGTTACGCTTTAACAACCTACTCTCAATTTTACTTATTGTCTCGAATTTCTTTTGCTTGAGGCAATACTAATCCTAATGTAAAGTCTTGCCATACTGGCAGAGATCTAGCTAAAAAAAACTGGTAGTTGTTTGAACGCTTGTACGACGAGTGTGAATGAATATTCATTATTCAATTCACTTACATATTAATTTTCTTAAGTTGCCTTCTTTTAAATATTAAATTATGTATTTATTAATAATTTGATTACAACAATGTTTTAAAAATAATTAGTTAAGTAAATAATTCATGTTAGTTGTTTGTTGAAAGCCATGAAATTTCGTACATAAGCCAACCGTGGCTTCAGTAAGCCACTGTGTTTTCGAAACAAAAAGCAATATTTTTATTTAAGTTGACAAAAGTAATTTTAAATTGTATAATTCGATTCAATTTCAATGTTTTTAAACATATTAAGTCAAATAAATATTTTGTATTAGTTGCTTGTTAAAACCTATGCAATTTCGTAAGGAAGCCAAATAGCCAGACCAGTTTTTGACGCTTAACTAAGTGTAAGGCTTGCATGTATTTTGTGATTAAGTTATATATTTTCCATGTTCTCAGTCTCACCGACTAAATCATGTAAATGGCTCATAATGACTCATAGCCATAAAAAAGCTTAAAGCAGATGAAAATAATGATGCTAAGGATCCAACTTCTCTGGTACTCACTTGCCTCTACTTCTTAGTCAAAAAATGTCATCAGTAAAAAAAATGTTTTGGTTCAACTGAACAGAACAGTATTTGATCTAACAAATTATGTCGTCTAACAAATGCATTTCTCTACATAAAAGTTAAATTTAAATGTTTTATAAAAATGATACCGTTGGTATACTAGCATCTGATGTGCATACGTCTGACAGTTACAGTGTGTAAAAAACAAGATCATATGATATTAATTGTTATTTGTATACAATATATATATACACGGCAGATCACAAAATTTTGATTTGTTTCATTTGTGTTTGAAATTTTCATTGATACATTTATCAAACTGAAATTACAGCTCTAGAAATTAGTCTCCACTGGCTGCCGATCAGGAAACGGATAAGATTTAAGGTGGCCGTGGTGGCTCACGATTGCGTACATGGTTGTGGTCCAGAACATCTGAAGGAGGTTTTTCGCAAAAGAACTGAAGTTGATGTGGGACATGCATTGCGTTCGGTTTCGTCAGAAATGATGGTAATTCCTAGGACCAGGACAAAACTGAGTGACAGATGTGTGCAAGTTGCTAGGCCCAAGGTTTGGAATGATCTTCCAACAAGATTGATGCAAATTGTTCCAGAAAAAGATTTTTGGAGAGAGTTAAAAAGTTATTTGTTCAACAAAGCATTTAATCACAGTACTATCCTCTGAGGAATGTCAATAGAATGAATAATATAATAATACAAATAATAATAATGTTGTGATTGAAATTTTTTTAATTGCAAAACATTAAAAAAAGTTCATAAAAATTCATTCCATAATAAGTTTTACTAATTTTAAAAGTACATCTCCTTTTATAAAAAAAAATACATCATTTTGTTGGGAAAGTTGCATACAAGCAATGGCAAAAATCAAAGTCTGTTGATGACCATACAATTTTCCGTGAGAAGAACAACTATGCAAGACGTCAAGTTGCACTGGCTCGGACAGATCAGTGCAGAGAGTAGCTCACTAAAAGCAAAGGTGAACAAATAAAATCTCTGTATCGTATAGCAAAACAAGCAAAGCGTACGAAAAAAGACATAGTTGGTGCCTCATGTATTAAAAATTACAAAAATGAGATGGTTCTTGAACGAGATGAGATCAAGCTACAGTGGAGAGAATACTTCAACCGTCTGTTAAATGAAACAAATCCCATCAATATTAACTTTGACGTTCCATCCATCGAAGGTCCGATTCCAGACATCACTGTAGAGGAGCTTACAGAAGCTCTGAAAGCTATGAAGGATGGGAAGGCAGCAGGGCCCTCTGGACTCACAAATGACATTATCAAAGCATCTGCTACTGCAGCACAGATGTTTGAAGAATGGAACACGAGACTCGGCGATCATGGATTCAAAGTCAACATCAGCAAAACCAAAGCAATGAACACTGGTGAACCCATTCAATTCACAGCTACTGGACGATGGCCCTGTTCAGTTTGTAAAGCTGGTGTAGGTAACAATTCAATCAAGTGTCAGCAGTGTAACCAGTGGTGTCACAAACGTTGTTCAAAAATAATTGGTACTTTATCTAAAGTGTCCAATTTTGTTTGTCCTGCTTGCATCAATCCACAACAACAAATTCGAAATAGCAATGTTTTTGAAGCTAATAAGGTAGAGAAAGTCACATCGTTTCAATATCTAGGAGATGTTCTGGATTGTACTGGAACAGCTGAAGCTGCCGTTCGAGCACGCATGCGTGCAGCCTGGAATAAATGGCATCTCCTTGCCTCTATATTGATACGGCGTGACATCCCACTACCACTACGATCAAGACTTTATAAATCTGTGATACGTCCGGTGTTGTTATATGGTGCAGAAACATGGCCAATGACAACCAAACTGGAACAACAACTTCAACGAACCGACATGTAAATGCTCCGATGGATGCAACGAATTAGTCTGAAGGACCACATCAAATCTACCGCAATCTTGCGTCGTGTTGGTTTAGATGATATAAAGGACGATTGCCGGCAACACCGTCTGCGGTGGTTTGGCCATGTCAAACGAAGTGGAAACAGTGCCATAACTTCTCTTGCAGATGTTGAAGTACCTGGCACACTGCCCAAAGGCCGTCCAAAGTAGTCCTGGTTGCAAACAATCGAGCAAGACATGAAAGCTCTAAATTTAAATGAAATGGATACAACTGATCGTCTAATTTGACGCAAACAATTGATGGCAAAGAAAACAACGTCCTACCTCGGAAAACCGGGTCTCCGGACGCAAAACGAAGATTGATTGATTTGACTTCGTTGGACCATCTAGAAATATATTTGTTAAAGAATATTATAAACTCAACATTTTTGCTATGGTTTCATTGATGTTATCGCAATTATGTTAAATTTACTCACGTTTCATGGTCTAAACGAGCTCTATTTATTTACAAAAAAAAATGGCAAAAGAGTTTAATTTATAATGTAAATGGTTACATGATGCAAGTTATGTTTTACTATATCACTTGCAGGGATCAAACATTCATTTATAAACTATTGTTATAATACTCGCTGTCGTAACCGGTTTACGATGCAACGGGTTCAAATCTTCGATTGAATAAAATACTCCAAACAGTTATTAAACTTTATTTACAGAAGAAATCAACTAATCGTTTATTTCCAGTAAATTCGCACTAACGCAACAATTAACTTTTAAATCTTTCAAAATCTATCGCTATGACAACGTCAACAAACAAATCAAACATCGCTTTAAATAATTCACCGAATCGCTATTCACAAAATCACGAATTTCACTAATCACGAATATCACTAATCACGAATATCACTAATCACGAATATCACTAATCACGAACATCACTAATCACAAATATCACTAATCACGAATATCACTAATCACGAATATCACTAATCACAAATATCACTAATCACGAATATCACTAATCACGAATATCACTAATCACAAATATCTTGCGACGTGCGCTTATATACTCTTCGCAAGCGTCGTTTCTAGATTCTTCCCGATGGTCCGATTCCAGCATACTCTAGAACGTTCCAGTCACTAGAACATTCTAGAATACGCTAGAATCTAGTGCGTTCGGTAGCACGGTTATAACATTACCCCCTTCTTAGTTCTGTTCGTCCCGAACAGCTTTCGTTCCGGTGTCCGCATGGTACGGAGCCAGTCTATCCAAATGAACGATCTTCATTCTTGCTCTCGACTTCCGATATTCCTGAATACGGTAGACGACGTCATTCAAGCGGGTGATGACTTGATAAGGTCCTTCCCACCCTCGCTGGAGCTTTGGAGAACGTCCTTTCTTCCGCTGTGGGTTGTACAGCCAAACTAACTCGTCGACAGCAAAACCGCCACTGCTTCCTTTCAAGTCGTATCTGGTTTTGGCCGCCTCCGTGTTTTTCATAATTTTAAGGCGTACGTAACGGTGGATATGGTTTAATCGCTGTCGAAGATTATCCACGTATTCTGTTAATGGTTGGTGTGGTTCGGGTGGTACGCCATATTTCACATCAGCTGGAGTTTTTAAGGTAGTCCCAAACAGAACTCTTGATGGCGTTTCTCCAGTAGTTGTGTGGATAGCACTCCGGTATGCCATAAGAAACAATGGTATATGACGATCCCAATCCCGTTGATTTTCGTCGACTACTTTAGCCAGATGTTCAATCAGGGTTTGGTTGAATCGTTCCACCATACCGTCAGACTGTGGGTGAAGAGGTGTCGTTTGAGTTTTGTTTATACCTAGCAGCTTGCACATTTCACCAAACAGTTGTGACTCAAAATTTCGACCTTGATCTGAGTGGAGTTCCAATGGGACAACATATCGACTAATCCAATTGAGTACAATTTCCTCAGCAACGGTACATGCTTCTTGGTTGGGTATTGGAAACACCTCAGGCCATTTGCTGAAATAGTCCGCTACAACCAGAATGTAACGGTTTCCATAATCTGATACCGGAAAGGGTCCAGCAATATCTATAGCAATCCGTTCAAAGGGGACACCAACATTGTAGATTTGCATTGCTCCTTTTAGCCTTCTTTTGGGTCCTTTGACTGAAGCGCATGTGTTACATTTTCGACACCAGCTCTCTACATCTTCTCTAACGTGAAGCCAGTAAAATCCTTCTCGTATTTTGTCAAGGGTCTTGTTCACTCCTAAATGTCCCCCAGAAGGGCCGCCATGCATTTCATCAAGGATTTTGGTCGTTCTATTTCTTGGTATTACAACTTGCATGCGGTGTTTTGATCCATCAGCTGATTCCCATTTTCGTTTCAGCAAATCCCCTTCCAAATACAAAGAGTCCCACTAAGCCCAATAACCCTTTAACACGGCACTATATTCTGAGATGCTTTGCCAGTCCGGTCGCTTGCCCTCCTTCTTCCATGTGATAAAATGTTGCAGGTCCTCATCCGCAAACTGTGCATCAGCAAGATCCGTCGGTGTTCAACCGTCATCCGCTGATATTGTTGTTGCTCTTATGTCTTCCGATTGTATCTTCTCCTCGTGACGACAGCAATATTTGCATCCTGGTAAACATGGTCGACGTGAGAGAGCATCAGCATTACTATGAGTTGCTCCTTTGCGATGCACGATCTCGAAGTCGTACATTTGTAAACGCTCCAACCATCGGGCCATCTGTCCTTCAAGATCCTTGAAGTTGAGGAGCCATCTTAACGCTGCATGATCAGTTCGGAGAAGAAATTTCTGTCCATAAAGGTACTTGTGGAAGTGTTTTGTTGCATTGACTATTGCTAGTAACTCCTTCCTGGTCACACAATAGTTTCGTTCGGGTTTTGTGAATCCTCTGCTATAATACGCTAGCACCTTTTCTTCTCCGTCTATATGCTGTGACAAAACGGCTCCGATTCCGTTGTTACTTGCATCAGTATCTAACACGAACGTCTTGCCACGAACTGGATATGCTAGCAAAGGAGCATCACATAGTTCAACTTTTAACTTTTCAAATGCTGAGTCGCATAGGGTATTCCAGTTGAAAACTCGGTCCTTCTCGGTAAGTTGGTGGAGAGGTCTGGCAACTTTTGCAAAATCCTTTACAAAACGTCGATAGTACGTTGCCAATCCCAGAAAACTGCGCAATTCATTTTTATCCTTTGGAGTTGGCCAGTCTTTCACAATTTCTATCTTGCTGGGATCGGTTCGAACTCCATCTGAAGATACCACATGTCCCAAATAGTTAACTTCTTTAAAGAATAACCTGCACTTTTTAACGTTCAGCTTTAAATTTGCCACCCGAAGTCTTGTGAAGATCTCCCGTAAGTTTTCTACGTGTTGTTCAAATGTTCTTCCTAGAACAATTATGTCGTCTAAATAGACAAGACAGGTTTTCCAGTTAAGACCTTGCAATACACATTCCATCAGTCGCTCGAATGTAGCTGGAGCATTGCACAATCCAAATGGCATGACGGTGAATTGCCACAACCCCGATCCGATAGAAAACGCTGTCTTTTCGCGATCGTTCTTGTCGATTTCTACTTGCCAGTATCCGCTTTTCAAATCAAGCGTAGAGAACCAACTTGAGCCAGATAGGGTGTCCATGATGTCATCAATCCTCGGTAACGGATAGCTGTCCTTTTTAGTCACATCATTTAACTTCCTATAATCAACGCAAAAATGGGTAGTGCCGTCCTTCTTCTTTACCAAAACAACTGGTGAAATCCAGGGACTTGATGACGGTTCGATGACGCCTTGATTCTGCATTGTCGTTATCATTTCGTTTACTTCTGTTTGTTTTGCTAGAGGAAGACGTCGTGGTACTTGTCGGATCGGTTTCGAATCCTGAGTATCAATTCGGTGAGTTACCAGAGCTGTTTTACCTTGGTCATTGTCACCGGTTGAAAACACGTCTGCAAAATCAGCAATCAACGCCTCGGCTTTTAGACGGTCTTCTTGATACAAATTAAGCTCATCCAGTAGATTTTTGGTAAGTTCTTTGAGTCTATCTTTGTCAGTTGGTAGAACCTTTTCCTGTTGCTCCACATCTAATGATTTCACCAAATTTATTGATTGGCAATTACCTATTTCCTCGCCTTTTTTAATTTTAATAGTGTGTTTAGCGGTATTCATTATTCTGACAGGAATAAGACCATTTTTGTTCGCTTCTACTAGGCATTTTCCAATGACCGCGTTCTGTACATTTGTCGTTGAGGTTGGCTCCATCAAATAGAACTGGTGGCCCCCAGGATCTCAATTCAACTTGCCCCATACGATGTTTTCAGATGATTGAGGTAGTTCCATGTCACAATCGACTGTTACTCGAATGCATCTTTCGTCGCTATCCCCCATTATCACTTCTGTATTTCTCCATCTAAGAATGCGTTTGTCTAAGTCAATTTTGAACCCATATTTTGTCAGAAAGTCGACACCTATTATGCATTCGTCGATGATATTCGCGACTAAGAATGAACCTTCGAATAACAAGTCGCCTAGCTGAACAGTACGGAGAATCTTTCCATAGACTGGTGCTGTTCCTCCGGTAGCTGTTCGAAGGATGTATTTGTAAGAAGTCTCTTTCTTCAGATTGGGTACCAAATCAGATCTTAAAATCGATTTTGTTGCTCCGGTGTCGACTGTAATTACGCATTCTCGTTGATCAACTTTTCCGTTCAGCCATAAGTCGTTTCGATTTCGATGTAGTCTGGAAACGTTAATTACGGTACTGGGGGCGTCAATTCTACTAGCCAACCTCTGCCCCACAAAGTTGGCTCTTATTAGTTTTCCGCCCCTTCGTTAGAAGGGGCCGATCGTGATACGGGATCATCTTCTCTTCTTTTGCGCCATCTTGTCGCGCAATTTCGGCAGTAGTTATCTTTTAGGCGGTGTTTACAATCACGACGTAGATGGCCTTTTTCGCCACAAATCCAGCATTGGGGTACACCATGCTGTTGGGGTTCACGTTTCACAATCACCTTCTGGCAAGAGCATTCTTCATGTACTTGGCGTAGACGTACGTCACTTTTTGATGCTTGCTTTGCCGATTCAAAAGTGAGACTGTGCGCAACGGCATCCTTGAGTTTTCGTTTATCTGACAAGAGAAGGGATTGCTTGAGTTCCGAATCACGAAGGGCTTTGATAAACGTATCCAGGGCAGTTTCGTCTCTGTGCTCGGGGTCTGATGTTGGATACGACAGCAATGTCAACCGTTCGATATCTTATGCCAGCTGCTGAATGGATTCACCAGATCGTTGCGTTCTGTTTCTAAGTTGAGACCGATAAATCTGCTTCATGTGTTCTTCACCATAACGTAAATCCAACGCGCTAACCAGAACTTCATAGTTGAAGTGGTTCTCCGCCGGAATCGTCTGAAGAACCTCTGCTGCTGAACCTCGCAGGGCCAGTATCAGTGCTGTTGCTCGTTCTTTTTCCGTTCCAACAGTTACTAGTTGCCGCTGCTTCGAACTGGGTTTTATAAACGTTCCAGGACATCTCTCCGTCAAATGCTGGTACCTTCAAAGTTCTTCCAGATGCGTGATCTAACGGCATGGCCAATTCTCGCTTCAATTTGTCTATTTTGTGATCTACCTCAACGGTCTGACGATCAAGTTTCTGTTCGATCATTTCTATTCTTGTTGACTGTTCTTCAATCTGTTCTGCCACTTCCAATTTTACGTGTTTTAGCTGGTCCTTGATCTGTTTTAACTCCTCTGTCTGTCGTTCGGACTGTTCCTTGATCTGTTGTTTTAACTCTTCTGTCTGTCGTTCGGACTGTCGTTCGGACTGTTCTTTGATCTGTTTTAACTCCTCTGTCTGTCGTTCGGACTGTCGTTCAGACCGTTCTTTGATCTGTTTTAAATCCTCTGTCTGTCGTTCGGACTGTCGTTCGGACTGTTCTTTGATCTGTTTTATTTCAGTTGACATGCTAAGCAGAAGTTCCATCATTTTAGCGGTTGTAAACGTGCCTGTGCTAATTTCATTGTCTTCGTCAGCACCATCAAACTTGAATTCGTCTGGGTTCTTACCTTCGTCAATGAGAGCTTCTCTCAGACGTGCAACTAGTACTTCTTTGTTGCCACTTGTGACAAGGCTTCGTTTCTGTAGTTCTTCTCGTAGTTGAACTACGTTCAACCCACACAGTTTTGACATCGTGTTCTTTTTCTACGAGTAGCAATTCGCTGGTCGAAGATCCCACTTCTGACACCAATGTTATAATACTCGCTGTCGTAACCGGTTTACGATGCGACGGGTTCAAATCTTCGATTGAATAAAATACTCCAAACAGTTATTAAACTTTATTTACAGAAGAAATCAACTAATCGTTTATTTCCAGTAAATTCGCACTAACGCAACAATTAACTTTTAAATCTTTCAAAATCTATCGCTATGACAACGTCAACAAACAAATCAAATATCGCTTTAAATAATTCACCAAATCGCTATTCACAAAATCACGAATTTCACTAATCACGAATATCACTAATCACGAATATCACTAATCACGAATATCACTAATCACGAATATCACTAATCACGAATATCACTAATCACGAATATCACTAATCACGAATATCACTAATCACGAACATCACTAATCACGAACATCACTAATCACGAATATCACTAATCACGAATATCACTAATCACGAATATCACTAATCACGAATATCACTAATCACGAATATCACTAATCACGAATATCACTAATCACGAATATCACTAATCACGAATATCACTAATCACAAATATTTTGCGACGTGCGCTTATATACTCTTCGCAAGCGTCGTTTCTAGATTCTTCCCGATGGTCCGATTCCAGCATACTCTAGAACGTTCCAGTCACTAGAACATTCTAGAATACGCTAGAATCTAGTGCGTTCGGTAGCACGGTTATAACACTATCTTATGTATTAATTATTATTAAAGATTATTGCAATTTTCAATGTTACCTAATCTATGTTAATTTTTATGTCTTTGCTTCTCTCTCGATTTCTTTCCCTCTTTTTCCTGATAGCTTGTAAACAAAACGGTTCGAGATTCACGTGGGAATAAAGATAATATTTTATTACGCCTAAATTGTTTTATTCATTTTAACTCAAAACAAGGTGTCTTGTTAGTAGCATAAGTTCGTACTAACACACTTATTTCATTTTAGATTTCATTTTAAAACACAAATGAAAAAAACAGGCTTTTGCAAATGTATTTTAAACTTGAATGAATGCTGGCGAAACAAATACATACCATTTTAATATAATAAACCAAGTGAAAATAACCAAAATATGTTATTCAAACAAAAGAAAATGCAAAAAAATAAATTTAAATCTGAATATCTTACAAAAATAACTATACACAGTAAATAATCAGTTATCCAAAAATAAATTTAAATAAAGTTGAAGGAATAAATTTATACAGAATTTCGAAGCCATAAATTGACTGAATGCAACAGTAACTAAGTTAATATCAGAAAATTGCTACACGATTTTAGCTATCTGCTTCAATGTTTGGTTCAGGTTTCCTAGGCAAACGCTCTTGATTGGCCCTTTTCTTGGAGTAAGTAAGACAGCTGGAGAAGGTAAAATTGTTTTTTGGGTTTGCAAGGTTTAGGCATTATTTCTGCAAAAACGCTGGCAGAGCAAATGCTACTGAGCAAGAAAATGATGCTGTAGTCACAGCATTTTGAAACAAAATATATTGTGTAAACAGCAGGTAGGTATGTTGTAACATCAGTTTGTTAAGCAACTACAGGTGCTGTTGCAACGCGATCTCCATTTCTATATTCATCTTTAGGACAGGTAAAATTTTAGAAAACTGGTTGTCAACATAATCTTCGTCGACTGGTTCCTCTTTAACAGTGGAATCGAAGTTCACGGTATTACAAGCAGAGGTAGTTGAAGATCCTGGGTTGTTTTTTGGTGCTATGATAATTACTTTGTTGGTGCTGAATAAAAGATTTTCAACAGCTTGCTGTTTAGGTCGAATTGGGACTGTCATAGTTAACCAACTTGCTATTGCTGTCTCTGCTGATGCTAATATTTCTCTAACTGATCACGTTAGTATTCACTTCATCATTATTATTACTGACAGAAATGACATCGTGATGGTGATTAAATTTTAAAAAGTCGTTGGTCTTTGTAGTGAAGGAACTGGCGATTACTTTGTCATGCTTTTTCTTCATGTGACGTTTGTACGTATTTCTAGTATAGAACATCAAAAGACAGTCGGTGCAGTGGAATGGGGTTTCTCCAGTGTGTCTTCGGCGATGTTCCTGCAATCAATCAATGAAGTATTTTTTGAACAAAAGTTTTAAAATGTATCCAACACCAGACAATTCATAAACAAACAGCATAGACAATGTACTGGAGAATTTCCTTCTCAAACCCAAGTTTTTCTTTTAACCATGAGTTTAATCTCAACTTTTTCTAATTTTTAAAACTCTTAAATAACAGAGAACCTAATCTTTGGTAATTAAAACATCACTAAATTATTTAAATCTTCTCAACCTCCCACCCCACTGACCATTCCAAACAACTTGCATGCTTACTCATCTTTTGTTTTAATTGATTAAATCTTTATAATCAACCAATTAACATATAACATATGTTTCATTTAATAACAAATCACAACCAGCAGTAAAAATACAATAATAGACAAAAATATTCAACTACATTTCTCTAAATACTCACCTTGAAATGACTGGGATGTCTGAACATTCGACCACAATATTCACACTTGAATCGATGGATGTTGTCGTGTGTGAGCAAATGGTAGTTAAGACTGTGCTGCCTCGTGAATGTTGAATTACAGCGAGTACATACATATGGCTTTATACCTGAAAAATTGATATACATGAAATCAAACCATGAACATGAGTTCAGAGTATTTTCATACAATTATTAGAAGTTCTTCATTATTTTCTCAGTATGATCAACTTTAGTAAAAAAAAAATGACATGGCTAAAGTCAAAATTCAATAAAAATTTATTCAATTCAATTTATTTCTCAACCATGAAGACATCTTTTATAAAACAAAATTTACCAAAAAAAACAAAAAAATTTTCAAGAGATTGAAAGAATGTTACTTTAATGTTACTAGTAATAATAAAATTCATCCTCTAAACATACCAGCATGACTTTTGTAGTGGTAGAGTAACGTGGATGTGGCAGTGAACTGTCTGGTCCTGCAGATCTTGCAAGTCAAAGTCATCTCAGAATCCTCTCTCTTCTTGCTTCTTAACTCGTTCAGGTAGTAAATAGCTAGACGCTAAAAAAAAAGTGCTGATTAAATAAATGGGTTATCATAAATTCGATGGTTGAAGCCATAAAAATCTAAAAAATATTATTAATGATAAATAATATTAATATTTCTCTTATAATTATTTCCCTAAGGTATCAACAACACACAGCACATGTGAATATGCGTGCAACACACACAGTGCATGTGAATCAATTAATCATACACAGTTCATAGGAATGTACGTGAATCAATTCATTACATACAGTGCAAGGAAAAGGCGGGGACATTATGCATTTAAATGCCGAATCTAGACACTGCCACAACATGATCTGATCATGCACCTCAACCATTACACAATCTTGAAGTTACAATAATTTTCATAAAATGAATTTTTCATGTACAATATTTATAGTTTTTTTTAACCATAAAATGACAAACCTTGATTTCCAGATCAGACAATGGAGTTGTTTTAGCTTCGAGGCATTCAACCTCCACTTTATTTATATCATTTGTCATAACCATTTGAATGGCTTCAGTGTACTGGGTTGCTAATATGCCTCCAGTGTGGTTTAATGTGTTTGGAAGGGGTCCAAAGAGCAGAGTCGGTGGGGCTGTCAAAAAAGAATTTATTGAATAAAAACAAAATTTCCAAAACCACTAATTATTATAACGACCAGTAAATGAGATAATTTTAATCAAACTACTGGTAGATGTAAAACATCAGCCACCATATCATTGTTAGCAAAATAATAAAAAACTGATCATTCAAACAAATCATTATAATAAAATATTATTGTTATTTATATTTAGTATAGAATCAGCTATCAGAATAACATATTTATAACAAAAAAAACTTACGTATGCAAGGTTTGATGCTTGATAATACAACATCATCTTCATCAGGACTAACTTCAAACACATTGTTGGGCAGACATCCAAGATGATCGGGCAGGTCATGCAATGACATCTAAATAAAAATATATGTCTCATCATACACCATATTAAAAGAGCAGTACAAAATTGAAAATTTTATAAAATGAAGCAGACCTTGACAATGGGTAGAATGAGTTTGAAATCATTAAAGTTGTCCTCTAATGGAAAAGTAATTCGATGCATTGGAGCATCTTGCTTTGACTTGTGGCTTTCATTGTTTGTCTTGTTTTTATCAGAACTTCTATGTTTGAAGTCATAACAGTGATCAATGCACCAGGGATGATTCATTATTAAACACATGTGCTTGGCTCGACTCTCAACAAATTTCTTATGAACTGCTACTTCAGGAGATACCTTTGTTTTTTTAGACAAAATTAAAGGTCGGTGCCTTGAATTTTTTAAAATATTTGGACATGTTATCTTTGGAACATTCAAGTTCAACTTGCTGCTCGAAGAGTTATCGTCGACGGTGTACTTTGATTTATTAGTATTTTCTGATGAAACTTCAACTTCATGCTTGATCCCATTGTCTATATAAACTATAGGTGGATCATTTACGTCTCTCAATAGACTTGAATCATTAAAATTTTGAAAATAATCATCATATGGTTCTTCTTTAATGGTGAACATTTTTTTTACAATATGGATGCCCTTGTTGCTTCCTGTTGAAAAAACATCAATACACTAATCACATATAGTTCTTATGATCTTGAAAAGTACATCTTGTTCTAATCAATTTTTGCTCAAAATAAATACTATTAGCAATTAACAATTTGTTAAAATATGTACGTACCCCAGAGGCTCTACTGTGCCTACAACGTGAGGGTTCATACACTCACATGCAAAAACATTTGTACATTCAGGCAAAGAGTGCATCAAGCACACAAAAGGACTTGAGTTAAGAATTTGAAAGAACAAAAGAATTTGAGTTACAGAAAAGTTATTTAAAGTTAAACAAGGTTAGCAAAATATAACTACAGCGGA